TTTTAAATATATTTATATAACAGTATATGTGTACACATTTGTTTATTATTATTTGCGTTCCAGCAAATTAAGATGTGTGTATTTATTTTATTCTTTTTGCGATACGCTCGAATGCCAACCTTGCTTGATAATCACAAAAACAGAGACTGAATCAGACTTCAGAGCCGCCTTCTCTTATTGCGCCCTATAGTCCAAAGAGCTAAAGGATAGCCCCGTAATGCGTATACACATAAATATATATGTATATGTTATTTTCCTTACTCAATTCGATTAATTAATTTCACTCATTTGTCCCGCTGTTTCGGAATTCTATGAATTTATATTGTCTTTTCTTTGACTATATATGTTTTTTTTTTTAATTTTAGTAGATTTTTTATGTCTTTTTTAAAGCTTTATTTCAAATATTGACCTTGAACTAATTCTTTACAATCTCACTCACATATATTTCTGATGTATGTCAAACCTTAGCTTATGCTGTGTTGCGACTCTTGTTTATTTTTATTAATAATGTTGTCTCTCATGCCTCTGGCTCGATAATTATCAGTTAATCAATTGCGCTCAGTGGAGCAGACACCCAGACTCACTCAATTGAGAAGGGAGAACAGCAACAACAACATTATTACAGATTACGACTAGACACAAAAACAGCAATTGAAATGCCTCTCCGTACATTAATCCTTGAGCATCGCAACTTGTAGCACAATAAATGAATTGTTTATTTATTTGTTTTAATCGCATGGTGTTTGCTGGCCTTTTGAACTTTTGCTTTCCTAGTTTGTGTTGTGTTGTGTTGTTAAAGTCGGAGATAAATAAATGAAATAGCCAGACACACAGACATTGCAAGGGGGCTCGCCGTTCGGGCAATTAAAAACGAAACGTGAACCGGATAGCTCAGCTAATTATAATCGAATTGGTATAGAAACTATATGCATATACATCTCATATAAATTTGCCTCTTTACATATACTGTTATACTGTTATACTGTTATACTGTTATACTGTTATACTGTTATACTGTTATACTGTTATACTGTTATACTGTTATACTGTTATACTGTTTTACTTTTATACTTTTACACTTTTATGCTTTTATACTCTTATACTGTTATACAACACTTTTTTCCTAACGGCTTAATCTAGCCAACAATTCACCTATTTTAAGCGTAATCAATGATTACGTCTGTGCGATAATTGCTTCCTTTTATTTTCCTGTTTTCGTTTCTTTTGAATACCGTTGTTTTGCGTTCTCTAAACACGCGCGCGCACCGTGTCCAAGAATATAATAATATATGTATGTTTGTGTGCATATGTGAATATTATTATTGTGCTTGCCATAAACACAGTCGTGTGTGTGTGTGTGTATGTCTCTATATATATGCGTGAGTGTATGCAAGATCTGATAATTTGCACACCTCACGCACCAACACCAGCAGAACGGCCAACACAATGCAATCGATCAGTTCACAACACTGGTCACACACACACACATATACACAGTGCGAGAAAAAGAGAGATAGAGAGCGGCGTGAGTTATGTTATCGATAATTCATCTAATTCGCGGTTCACGAACGTCTGTCTATTTGCACCGTGCGGCGTACAGGAACTGACTGAATTAAGAGGGCGGCTGCTGTGGCAGCTGATGCTGCGCTGGCTACTGCTGCTGCCGTGAAATCGAAATCTGAACAACAACTGATAATCCAATTTGAAAATAATATAAATACTAAAAAAAAGTGCTACACAGCTGGCGCTCACATACTCACACAAACACATGTAAATAGTTGGTAATGCCGGCCGGGCAGTGATAACAGCAGACGACCCCAAAAAAAATGTTGGACATGTGTGCGCCGTGTTGTCCCGCCCGCATAAATTCAATGCGTATGCCGCGGCCTGTCACTCTCTCCGTCTCTGTCTCCGCCCCTGTCTCTGTTGCTGTCTCTATCTGTGTGTAATTCAAAGTTCAAAGCTGGCCTGTCTATACAGGCGAATTGCCAAAACGCTACGGCGCGCTTATCAACGTAATAAAAACCGTAAAACGCATGCCGTGAGCGTGTCTCAAAAAAAAAATATTTTTTTTTTCTTTTATTT